CTCACGCTTTTCTATTCCACCTGGTCTTCTCCTTATCCCACAACTCTAAACCTCAATGCTGTGGTAAGGACAGGCTCTCCTAGGCTGTCCTGGGAAGGTGTTGCCTCTGCCTTTTCAATAACACATTCATCCCTCCTCCTCGTGACTTCTTGCTTCACAATGTGAAGCTTACCAAGGAAAAGGAAAAGGTGTACACAACAAAGACATGGCAGTGACTGAACGACAGTGGGGAAATCTATCCTGGTACACCCCACACAGGCAGAGAAGTTTAGCAAGCTGAGAGTACACCCAATTCGGGGCTGAGCATGCTCACTGCAAACATGTGCTGATGATCACTGCAGAACCATGCCCAGCCCCTACCTCCGCGAGCCACTTCTCAGCCCCATCTCCTTCTGAGGGCATCTTGGGGGAGTGTCTGAATGGAAAGGACGAGTGGAAGGCAAAGGCTGGGATGCATCAGACGTTTAACGAGTCAAAAGTGGAAAATGACATAGATGTGAGTAGAGGTTACAATGAGGAAGCACCAGGGGCTCATAGGAGCCTGTGCCCCATGGCTGTGGCAGAGATGTCCGTGTGCCTGCCCCACAAAGGGAGCTGGGCCAGCAGGTCCTCCCTAGGCTGGCTTGGTGGGGCTCACTGCCCAGGGGAGAGCAGGAGAACAAGAACATGGGAGGGAAAGGACAGAGTGGAAAAGAGGAAATGCAGGCATGGATTGTGCTTTTGGTTGTCCCAGCCCTTTTGAAAGGGGTGCTGAGGTTGCTCAGCTTCTTTCAGGGATACAACCTGATGCTCTATTCCCAGGCTGGTACCATCTTCTGGGTCCCTGGGGACCTTCCCCAGGACCATCACCAGCACATTTAGCAGGGGAAGAACCTCCTGCTGGAGTAGCGGCTGGCCAAACCACAGGAGGCCAAAGCCCCCGGATGAGATGGGCACTCCCTCAGAGCTGAGGATGCTGCCAACAGCAGCGGAGGTGGAGGATCCCACGGCGGTGTTCTGTGGGAAGGAGCTGAGGATGGGTCCAGGCAGGGTCACCACCACAGCAGGGGGCTCGATGATGACGTTGGAGTCCTGGCACTGCCTGACACAGGGCTCATTGCAGCTGTTGGCCAGTGGGGTCGGGCCACAGGGCTGGCAAGGCAGGCACTGGTTGAAGCAGGACATGTCTTGGTGGTGGAGGTGCACCTGGGAGAGAGGGCAGGGGGAAGCAGAGCCTTGAGAGGTTGGTGAGGAGCAGCCTGCCACCCCACTCTGAGGGAGCCAAGGCACATGCTAAGTGGAGAGGTGGAGTTTCTGCAGTGAGAGCCGTGGGCTTCTCCTTCCCCTTAGCCCAAAAGTGCCCTAACAAGAGCAACCAAGCCCAGGGAACTCTTTAAGTAAACTCCACAGTTCAGGAGACTCCTCAGCCAAGACCTAGAGTCTATCTATGCTCTACTTTCTCCCTCCTTCCTACTTTGATGTCAAGGACCTCCAGGCCTTCCTGTGGCATCATGGAGCAGGCATCAGCTGAGTAGTCCATTGGTGTGAGACCTCAGCCTGGGGAAGGATGAGAAACAGAAAGACCTGCAGACTCACCTGATTCCGAAGCAGAGTGAGGCAAGAGAGGTGGGTGAGAGAACAAGGCTCTGGCCTTACTTTTATACTGCTCCTGCACCACCCCAGGCCCTGAGGCTGTCTCTGAATGGGCAGTAATTTTCCAACGTACTCATCTTGAACAGAGAATGCCTTCCCCAATCACACAGCTTGTAATTTGGTTTCCTACATTGCTTCCTTCTCATTTCCCCATTTCTGAAATGCCCTTTGTGCCAGAGACGCTCCTGCCAAATGCTTGAATGGGAGTCCCAAGGACTTCTGGGGCAGGAACTCAACAGTGCTGAGGAGGAAACTCAACTGCTGAAGAAGTTCCATGAAGTTAGGGGACACCATCTTGAGGTACCCCAGTGGGCTCACTTGCATCTCTTTTTTCAGGAAGGTTCCCAGGTACTCCAAGTGTTGCAGTCCTCAGATGAATATCCACAGGTTCCCATGCACAAGGACTTGCTCTGTCATTCTCTCCCCCTCAATCCCAGCTTACTCTGACAGTCCGTGGCAGTCACTCCTCAGGCTGGTGGGCTATGCTTCTCTTCTTCTTCTTCTCTTTCTCCTTATACTGCTTGGTTTAAGGAGAAATTTCCCCACTTTCTTGGTCTGCTCTCCTCTGTGTTCTCTCTCTGTGTGTGCAAGACAGCCTGGGACATCTAAGTAGCTGTAGCACCCAGAGGTGAAAGAATTCCCACTTCTGTCTCAGGGACGGGATAAAACAACTTGGGAATGGAATCAGTAGAACAACAGCTTGACTCTGGGAGCCTCTCAGCAGCCCAAAGCCGATGCTTCTTACCTGTGTCAAGGTGCAGGGCATGTGGGCAGAAATGCACCCAGAAGTGTTCAAGGAATATGGAGGAATGGGGCAAGAGGGGATTCAGTCACAGGTAGAGAATTTGTGTCTGCTGTTGCACACCTCATTCCCCACCAGCAAGCACCATGGTGCAGTGATTAGAGACATGGAAAGCCTGGCTGGAAGAGAGGAAGAAGGTTACTGACCAGAACAGCCCAAGGTGAAATGCAAAGGAGAAGTTTCTTGCAAAGGCAGTTTTCAATAGGGAGACCATTTCCCCCTTTCCTGCAATGCTCTTCCTTTCACTGCCAACAGTCTCTGAAGGAAAGAGCTCTTCTCCTGACACTGCTGGTAGGATAGCAGCAGTGTCTGCAGAGTGTGGCTGTGAATAAGACAACCCTTCCCTCCCAGGCAGTTCCTGGCAGAATAGGATTCAGTGTGGGACATAAAAGCTCTGTGTGGTTGAAGATTAAATGAGCTGTCAGCTGTTCGGCTCTCTCTTTGCAGCCTAGACGGTCTGTCCTTTGCCTCAGAGCACAGTGACACTAGGTCATCTGTCCTCATGCTTGGTAGTGACTCAAGGTCTCAGACCCTGCACGACTCAGCGTCAGGCCAATTAGCTGCAGAGGTGCCCACGGCTTTCACTTGGACACGAGGGGTCTATGTCCCATCCTGGACACTGTTAACACTGCAACAGAAGCAGATCCACCCCAAAGTGCCCTTCATGAGATGAGTAGGACTTCCTGGTTTTTCTCCCTGTACATAAAGCTAACCCCACTGTTTTGTACTCCTTAACACTGGAAGAAGATGCATCCTGACCTGGAGAGGCAGGCAGTGGTGACTGACAGTCATGCTAAGACACTTTGAATGTTGATATGCTGAATGAGTTTCCAAACTGGTGTGAAACTGCCCTTGCTAGGCTCTGAAATCTGCAGCAGCACACTGTGAGCTCTGGAGGAGCATGAAAAGGAAAGCTCAGGAGACACGAGGCTGGTTTTCAGTTCCGGTACCGAGGGCAGGTTTCTGCCGGGTCTATGCCGTTGCTGTTCAGCTGCCACTGGGCTCCTTTGGGCCTGTGAAACCTGCTGCTCTGTGGTGCTCATGTGCAGAGGAGTGGAGAGTGCCTCTGCCAAGACCAGCACATCCCCTCGAGAGGAGGAGAAGTATGGAAGGACACACAGGTACTCCCACATACCCGTGTGCATGCACACACTTAAACATTCATATATATACAGATTTTAGTGAAAGCAAATTATTTTGACACAAGAATGAATACAGACACACAAGTGGCACGCATATGTATGAAATTACACAGATGTTGTTTGCACATAGATTGGACAGAGAAATAACCCTAATATTCTGAAGGCATTGGCTGGGGACACCAAGAGATTGATCAGAGAGAGGAAATGGCAAAACAGACTGGCAGACTTGTCCCAAAAGCAAGAGCACCAGGAAGAGGAGATTCAAAATGAGCAGTGCAGCCCACCACCTGGAAAGTACATCACTGACCATCAGAGAATGCTGGACCCCTTATTTGAATAGGGCAACAAAAAACCCCCCAGGAAAATCTCAGGCCATTGTTACTTGCCTACACTGGATCTCTACCCAGCAACTGGGTCACATCTTCAGCCCACAGTGATGCATTCCTGACCTGAAAAACCTTGGATCTCTCATCTTTACACTTGAAAGGAGACTCAAAGGGAAAGGGCCATGACATAAATTAGAATATGAAAGCATTGAACAGTGGAAAACTAAACAAAGCATGTGCCATTGGCTGGAATGTCTTCAATTAGAGAGTCTGTTGGAAAATTACTGCCTGTATATAGCATGACTGTGCACCTGGGGCAGTGCTGGAACAGTATAAAAGCCAGCCCAAATACCCAGTCTTTCATCCACTTCTCTCACCTCTTTCTCCTCGAGGATCAGGTGAGTCTGAAGCCCTTTCTCTTCCCGTCTCTACTCCTCTCAGGAGCATTAAGCCCCTCACCCAGCAAGTGGCTTGGCTCCCTCAGAGTGGGGTGGCAGGCTGCTCCTCACCAACCTCTCAAGACTCTGCTTCCCCTGCCCTCTCTCCCAGGTGCACCTCCAGACACAAGCCATGTCCTGCTTCAACCAGTGCCTGCCATGCCAGCCCTGCGGCCCAACCCCGCTGGCCAACAGCTGCAATGAGCCCTGTGTCAGGCAGTGCCAGGACTCCAACGTCATCATCGAGCCCCCTGCTGTGGTGGTGACCCTGCCTGGACCCATCCTCAGCTCCTTCCCACAGAACACCGCCGTGGGATCCTCCACCTCCGCTGCCGTTGGCAGCATCCTCAGCTCTGAGGGAGTGCCCATCTCCTCCGGGGGCTTTGGCCTCTCTGGCCTTGGCCTCTGTCCTGTTGCCAACCGCTACTCCAGCAGGAGGTTCTTCCCCTGCTAAATGTGCTGGTGATGGTCCTGGGGAAGGTCCCCAGGGACCCAGAAGATGGTACCAGCCTGGGAATGGAGCATCAGGTTGTTGCCCTGAAAGGGGCTGAGCAACCCCAGCACACCTTTCAAAAGGGCTGGGACAACCTAGAGCTCTCGAAAAGCACAATCCATGCCTGCATTTCCTCTTTTCCACTCTGTCCTTTCCCTCCCATGTTCTTGTTCTCCTGCTCTCCCCTGGGCAGTGAGCCCCACCAAGCCAGCCCAGGGAGGACCTGCTGGCCCTGCTCCCTCTGTGGGGCAGGCACATGGACACCTTGCTGGGATCTCTGCCACAGCCATGGGGCACAGATTCTCATCTGCCCCTGTTTCTCCCTGCACTGAGGCCTCCACTCAGAGTGATCTCGTTTCACTCTTTTAATTCATTAAAGTTCTGATGCATCCCAGCACATGTCTCTGTGTCATCCTTTACTGTGCAGACATTCTCCCAAGATACCCACGGAGAGAGATGGTGTTTAGGGTTTCTTCTAGGAGGGTGTTTTGGGGGAAGGCTGTGCAGTGGTTGTTGAGACAATGATAGTTAACCACTGCATGGTCCTTCTCTCTGTGGACACTCCAGACACATAAAGTCAGGAAGATGGATGTTTCTCTTGGGAAGTTAGGGATGCATAGGGTAGATGGAGAGCCTTCATCATTCCTAAAGGAGGGGAGGGTGAGACACAGTGCAGTTGGCCCTACTGAAGTCCAGCATTGCT